ATTCTTTTTCAGGAAATACATAAATCTCTTTATTTCATGGTCTGATATTAAAGTGTTCTTGTGTTCCTTGAGGGCATTAGATTGCCTTGCTTTTTCATGATTCTTGTGTTGATTTTTGTACATCTGGAGGAACAATTTTTCTACCACTCATGGAGGAATTTTTCATAGATGTATGAATTTCCCTAAAGGTGCATGTTTGGGTATCATTTTGTCAAACAACCTTTGCTTTCATTGTGCTTAGACTCTATAGTATTGTCTTTTTGTCCTTTTTTTGTTAACACTATGGTTGACCTAATAGTATAGGGATCTGGACTGCTTCTGTGGTCAAGGGTGATTATTGGGATCCTTATTACACAGGTCTCTAGTCATCTCTGAAGGGAAGAACTGGAGTCAGGTGCTTCTTAGGTGTTGGGAGCAAGCCCTGCGAATGCTGCAAACGGGCCTGGACACACATTTCTTGCCACTATCAAAGCCAAGAGCTAGAGTTGTGAGATAAACACTGACAGGAAATGGGCCGGCTCACAGCTTCCCAGCCACTGCCTGACCCAGAGCCTCAGGTTTTTGCATATGGCTTACACTGGATCAAGGAATTTCCCTTCTAAGAAGAAAAAACTTTTATCATTACTGAATTTTGAATATTATGAAATGCTTTATCTGCTTCTTTTGGAATGATCATGCATTTTAATCTCTTATTCTGATATTTTGATGTATAATGATTGGATTTTGAAGGTTAAACATATTTGCATTCCTAGAATAAATGCCATATATTTGTGATCTGTTATAACAAGATTTAATACTCATTTTGATTTCATTTTGCCATTAGGGCTATGCTGGTCTAGTAAAATTTCTCTGTTTTATCTTTTCCAGATTTAAGAATTAAGAGGCCGGCGCTGCGGCTCACTAGGCTAATCCTCTGCCTTGCGGCGCTGTCACACCGCGGCGCACCGGCTGCGGCGGCCATTGGAGGGTGAACCAACAGCAAAGGAAGACCTTTCTTCTGTCTCTCTCTTTCACTGTCCACTCTGCCTGTAAAAAAAAAAAAAAAAGAAAAAAAAAAGAATTAAGGTGGTGCTGGCTTCATATAAAGAATTTGGGAGGATTCCCTCCCTTTCGATTGTTTTGAGTAACTTGAGGAGAATTGGAGTTAGTTCTTCTTTAAATTTCTGGTAGAATTCAGCAGTGAAGCCATCCAGTCTTGGGATTTTCTGTTAGGAGGATCTTTATTACTCTTCCAATTAGTTATGGGTCTGTTTAGGTTTTCCATGGCTTCCTGGTTCAATTTAGGTAAGTTGTATGTGTCAAGGAATCTATCCATTTCTCTAGCTTTCCCATTTTGTTGGCATACAACTCTTTGAAGTAATTTCTGATGGTTCTTTTTATTTCTGTAGTGTCTGTTGTTACATTTCCTGCTTTATCTCTGATTTTTAATTTGCATCTTCTCTCTCCTTTTTTTGGTTATTAGGGTCTATGGTGTGTCAATTTTGTTTAATATTTTTTGACAGGCAGAGTTAGACAGTGAGAGAGACAGAGACAGAGAGAAAGGTCTTCCTTCCGTTGGTTCACCCCCCAAATGGCTGCTATGGACAGCGCGCTGCACTGATCCGAAGCCAGGAGCCAGGTGCTTCCTCCTGGTCTCCCATGGGGTGCAGGGCCCAAGCACTTGGGCCATCCTCCACTGCACTCCCGGGCCACAGCAGAGAGCTAGACTGGAAGAAGAGCAACCAGTACATAACCTGGGACCCCGACCGGTACTAGAACCCCGTGTGCCGGCGCCACAGGTGGAGGATTAGCCAAATGAGCTGCGACGCTGGCCAATTTTGTTTATTAAAAAAAAAACAAAAAACAAAAAAACTGGCTCTTTGTTTTGGTGATCTTCTGTATTATTTTTGGTTTCAATTTTGTTGATTTTTCTATAATTTGTTTTTATTTATATTATTTTTTATTATTTTTATTTAATAAATGTGAATTTACAAAGTGCAACTTTACATTGTTGTGGTTTCCCCCCACAACCTCCTCTCCTCCACAGCCATCCCATTTCCAAATTAGGGTAATTTTCTGCTATGATCCTACTGAATAAGTTTTCTAAGCCATTCTTTTTTTCTGTACTTTCAACAACTCCTAACACTCTGTATTTGGCAATTTAATAGTATTCTAGAAATCCATAACACAATTTTGGTATTTCAGGGGCCAGTGCTGTGACATAGTGGGTAAAATCACTTCCCCATGGCATTGGCCTCCTATGTGAGCATCAGTTTGAGTCCAGCTTCTCCATTTCTGATCCAGCTTCCTGCTGGTGTACCTTGGAAAGGATCAAAGGATGACCCAACTCCTTGTGCCCCTGTACCCATTGGGGAGACTTGTTGGAGACTACTGGATCCTGCCTTTGGACTGGGAGTCGACAAGCAAATGGAAGATTAGATTTCTCTCTCTCTCTCTCTCTCTCTCTCTCTCTCTCTCCCCCTCACTCCCTCCCTCTTTGTAATTCTGACTTTCAAATAAATGGATAAATCTTTTTACAAAAATTTTGGACTTTTTAAATTTTTTCTTCCTTTTTTTTTGTCTGAGATATTTCAAAAAACCTTTCTGTCTTCTAGAATGTATATCCTTTCTTCAACTTCCTCAAGTCTGTTGTTAAAAGTTCTCACTGTATATTTCATTTGACTGAATGAATATTTCATTTCTTATATTTCTGTTGTTTTATCAATATCTCTATCTCTTCACAGGATTTCTCATCCATGATGTGTACAGATTTCCTTATTCATCTTACTGTTTTTTTTGTATTCTTGAGTAACCTTACAATCACTCCTTTGAATTCCTTTTCAGACATTTTGTCAATATGCTCTTCACAATCAAATATTAATGTATTATTGTGTTCTTTTTGCAGAGTTATATATCCTCCCTGGTTTATTTTTTGTGTTTCTATGTTGATTTTTATGTATTTGAGGTATGACTAATTATTTTTTTCTGGGGGATTTTTTTTTGTTTTAATTTAAGGCCTTAGTCTTAGAAATGTTACACTATTGTTTGACAGCATGCCAGACGTTTATACAAGATCCACAGTTGTATGCTGGTAGGGGCTTGTAGTTGGACAATGGTCCATACTGCCACCCAAGTTGGGTATGTGTAGCACCTCTGGTTGTAGTCAGTCGGGGGAAGAGATGTTGCAGTTACCTAGTATGTCTACATCTTTGCCAAGGTAAACCAGCTAATTCAATGCCTAGATTGGGTTCATAATGACTTAAACTCCACCCACCCAAGCATGAACACCATATAGAGCAGTGGCCTATTTTATAGTGTGACCCCCAAGCCCTGTGAGAGATCTGTCCTCAGGATTCAGGGAACTCTAAGTGTATACAGTCAGGCCACATGGCTACACAAGAACCCAGCCACAATCCCTATCTTCATCAGCTCTGTGGTCTATGCCCAGAATTCTCACAGTCACAGGGTAAGGAGTTCCATTCTCTGTTATGTGTGCTGCCCCATCCTAGGGCATGCTTCCCAATCATTCCCCTAGTCAGAATACAATTCAGCTGCAGCTCCATCTCAGCAAATTGAGTGTGGTGCTTTGCTGAGGGAGTATGGACAACTTGGCCTCCTTTAACAGAGCAAAGTAGCCTCTCAGCTCCCTACCAGCACCCCAAGCTAGAATCAGTGTGAGGGAGGACTGTGACATTTTCTCTCAGTTAATGCTACCAGTGGTGGGGACTGTAGCCACCTCTTCACCTTGCCCTGGAAAGATAGCATTTCCCATCTGGGTGACAGCCATGTACATGCAAGAGTCATTGGTGATGCACAGCCTGAAGATGCATGTCTGTCCCCTTTGATGTTCCAAAGAGTTCCTGTTCTGTTCTATCCATTCTACACTGAAAATTTCTCTCAGTAAGTCTCCTGGGAATGTGGTCCTTCCTTTGCTTTTCTGCTATCAATCTGTGGCTGATGTCACTGTAGCTTCTCTGTGTTCAATCAACTTAGGTCTGCCATACACATCATTACTTTTTAAATTACATTAATATGGGGCTAGCATTATGACATAGAGTGTTATTATCACTTGTGACATTTGCATCTTCCGTGAGCTCAGGTTCTTGTCCCAGCAACTTCACTTCTTATGCAACTCCTTGCTAATGCCCCTGGGAAAACAGTGGAAGTGGCCCCTCCCACCCACATAACAGACCCAGATACAGTTCCAGCTCCCTGACTTCAGCCTGTCCTAGCCCAAGTAGTTGAAATAATTGGAGAATGAGTCAGCAGATGGAAGATTCTCTCTCTTTCTCTCTCTCTCTCTCTCCCTCTCTGTAACTTTGCATTTCAAATACATAAATAAATATTTTAAAAACTATTTAGTAAAATTACATTTTTAAAATTTTTATTGGCAGTAATGGAAGAATTGTCACAATTTTATTAGTGTGCTTCTCTGAGAAATGTCTAATGGGTTTATTGGCATAGAAATCCCCAAATGTGTATTCCTTAGCACTGCTTTTATGAACACTTTACTCAATGTGAATATCAATATCCTTATCACTGTTTTATACTCATTTCTAAAATTCTTTAATTATTTGGACTCATAGAATCACAAGTTGTTTAATAGGTAAAAATAGATTCATAGATTATTTAAATAGACTTCCTTTTTGTTGTACTCACTAAAATAGCATTCTGCTGTTGCCAAACATATTTTTGTGCCTCACTAATGTGCAAGGGTCAATAGACCAAAAAATGATATTTCCCCATAATTGCTGTAAAACAACTGATGAAGGAGGAGGTGCTCAGAGTGGACATTACAATTCATAACAAAAGATTATTTCATTTAATATTAACATAACTGACAAACTAATTCATATATGTAGCCAGATAATATAAAATTCATTTCATTTGTCTACTTCTTGTCTTTGTTGAGGTAAAACACATAAAAGTGACATTAATTATAATTACTTTTAATATGATATTAGTTCACTATGTTGAGGTTAATGATAGTTGTTTTATTTCTTTCTATGCTGCTGTAACAGAACACCATTGACTGGATGAAATATAAACAATAGAAGTATATTTGGCTCACAGCTCTGAAGTTGGGAAATCAATATCATGGCGCCAGTATCTCCAGGGTCTTCATTGTGCTTCATCCCATGTAGCAGAAAGTGAGAAAGTAAGAGGGCACTGGACACAGTGACAATTTTTGGAAATGTCATTCATCCATTCATGAGGGCAGTGTCTTCATGATTTAGTCACTTCTAATAGGTCCTGCTCTAAACATTTTAATGGTTGCAATTAGATTCAACATGAGTTTTGGAGTGGACATTCAGCCACACAAGTTTGAACCATTCTGCTTCATGATTTTTCAAATGCAAAAATGAATGTCTTTCTCATATCTGCATCTATAAGAGGATAATGCAAATATGGAAAACATATTACCAATGTCAAAATGTAGGATTTCAAGGAAACTTATCACAAATGTTTCTTTCACAAAAAAAAAATTGAAAAAACAAATTTTTCATGAGGGGTTCCTTGGACTTTAGGGTCACATAAATACTGATGCTACCATATTTTTGAAATATATAAACCAGTTCCTTCTGTAGAAATATTATTTTTCCTTTTCCTTGTCAAAGTAAAGATGAAATTACTAATTGCTTCTTCCCACTCCTCAAAAATGTATGAGTGCAGGAATGCTTTCATTTCTCAAAAAAGTGTGAGTACCCTTGAATCACTATGGAATTCACTGCTGTTTCAGAAAAATGTGTGTATTAAATACGCTATCTCCTGATAACCTCAAAGAATCCAATCTCATATAACAAGATAGGGATTCCTAGTTGCAGTTCATGTGGAACATTTGCTGACAGTCAAATAAACAAAATGAGACTTCAGGCCCATATGGGGTTTCTTGGAATCCAAAGTAGATTTATTTGTGTCTACAATCTAGAAGTATCTTAAAAGAGTGGCATCAGTTTTTGACCTGCTCTCTAATCAGGAACTTTGTGAAAGTTCTCTATTAAAATTTTGTATCTCTAGCATTTTTTCATTTTTATTGGTACACATGATTTCTATATTAAGATCTCTCTCTCCTTCTTCTTCTTTCTCTCTCTTTCATGAAAAGTAACTGATGAATTGATTAAAATTGCAAAAAAATTGTGGTGTAAAGAAGTTAACCCAGATAAAGTGTGCAAGTGAATGTTCTTTAGTTTACTCACAGAATCATGCAAACATCACCACAATCTAAATTTAGAACATTTTAATCACTGTTAGAAAAACCTTATATACATTACCAGCATTCAGTTAACCTTGCTGTACCTTTATAGCCCATTTCTTCAATTATTTTCTGTACCTATAAATTTGCCTGTTCTGGAAATTACATAAAATGAAATGATATAATAGGCAATCTTTTTTTACTAACTTATTTCATTTTGAGTAATATTTAAAAATTATTTTCATTTCATTTGAAAGGCAGGGAGACACATATGCATATGTACACATACATGAGAGAGATAGAGGCGGAGAGAGAGAGAGAGAGAGAGAGAGAGATTGCTCATTCACAAGAGATAGGATTGGAACATGTCAAACCAGGAGCTTGGAGCTCAATCCTCATATCACATATGGGTGGCAGAGACCCAAATATTTGAGTTGTCATGTGTTGTCTCCAAGTGTGTGCATTAGCAGGAATCTGGGTCAGAAAATGAGGAACTGGAACAAGAACCAGCCACTTCAATAAGGGATGCAGACTTTTCAAGCAGCAATTCATCTACTGTAATAAAAGACCCACTGCTAGCACAATAATGTTGATGTTCACCCAAGTTATAGAGTACATTAGTATTTCATTGCTTTTTATGGATAAATGATATTTCATTGTACAGTTATAACATACTTTATTTGTCCATTCATCAGTTGACAGAGTCATTTCTACTTTTTGGCTATTATGAACAGTGTTGCTAGAAACATTATTGTACAGATTTTTATGTGGATATATGTTTCCATTTCCCTTTGGTACATGCCTAGAAATAAAATTGCTGGTGATATAATAACTTTGTGGCTAGTTTTTTGAGGAATTGGAAACTGTTTCCTGAGGAGCTACACCCTTGAACATTCTGCTAGGAAACTCACCGGAGTTTGGGTCTTCCAAGTACTACCTAGGTTCTGTTTTCCATTGTCCTGCTGATGACAGCCTCTATAGTTGGTATCAAGTGTATCTCACTGTGTTTTCAACTTATATTCCTCTATGAATAATGATACAATTGTCTTTTTAACGTGCTTATTAATCCTTTGAATATCTTCTGTGAAGAAGTGTCTGTTCAAATACTCTGCCAAGTTTTTAAATTGAATTACTTTCATTTTTATTGCTAAATGGTAGTTGTATTTTATATAATCTGAATACTTGTCCCTTACCAAATATCCTAATATTTTCTTTTTTCTTCAAATCTGTAGACTGTCCTTTCTCTGTCTTCTTTTTTAAAGATTTATTTTATTTGAAAGGAAGAGAGAGAGAGAGGTAGAAAGAGACATCTTTCATCTGCTAGCCACTCCCCAAATGGCTGCAATGGCCAGGCCTGGGCCAGGTTGAAACCAGGAGCCAGGGGCTTCTACAAAGTCTCTCATGCAGGTACAGGGGCCCAAGCACTTGGGCCATCCTCCATTGCTTTCCTAAGCACATTAGCAGGGAGCTGGATTGTAATGGGAGCAGCTGGGATTTGAATCAGAACTCATATGGAATGCTGGTGTTGCAGGCAGCAGCTTAACTTGTTAAACACAACCCTGGCTCCCTTTCTCTTTCTTAGTATTACAGATCCACCACAATGATTTGTAATTTTGAAGATCATTTTAAATTTTTTTCTTATTTTGATGTTGGAATATATTTAATATGACACCACCTATTTAAGAAACCATAAAAACCATTTCATCATTCAAGGACACAGAGACTTGTTCTTCATGTTTCCTTCTAATTCTTTTCTGCTTAGAGTTCTTGTGCTTATTTATTCCTATAATCATGTTTAATTATTTTGTGTATAGTATAAGAATGAGGTCCTACTTAATTGCTTTACATGTCTATATTCACTTGCCCAACATCATTTATTGAAAAGACTATTCTTTCAGGACCAGCACTGTAGCATAGCGAGTAAAGCAGCCATCCCATATGGGCACTGATTTAAGTCCTGGCTGCTCTATTTCTGATCCAGCTCCCTGCTGGTGCACCTGGGAAAGCAATGGAAGATGGCCCAAGTCCTTGAGCCCCTGCACCCACCTGGGAGACTTGGAAGTAGCTCCTGGATCCTGGCTTTGGCCTGGCCCAGCATGACTGTTGCGACCATTTGGGGTGTGGGCCAGCAGATGGAAGATTTCACTCTCTTTCTCTCTTTCTATCTCTCTCTGTCTCTGCCTCTTTTTCTCTTAACCTTGACTTTCAGATAAGGAGATAAATATTTATTCTAAAAAGACTATTCTTTCTTCATTTTATTATCTTAACAAATTTTTCAAACTCATTTTTTTCTTTTTAAATCATTGGGTAGTACCTCTTGAGGGGGGAATGTTAGGTGAGAAAGTCAGTTATGAGCTTATGTGTGTGTGACATGAAGGCCTAAAGAGAAGACATCTATGTCCAGCATATGCTGCATCTCAAGGTCATCCAGATGGTGTTTCAGGGGCAGCTCAGTATTCACATCCTGACCTGCCCTGCCCCATTCCACCTGATAACCTGCCAGGTGGAGGTCCCCACCCCTTCTGCCTGACAGTCTTCCACAATCTCCCAGGTGCAGCCCAGTATCTGCATCTCAAACACCCTGCTCCCTTCCTCCTGTCTGATAACATTTGCATCCATAAAGTCCTTTGTTTCAGACCTTCAAGAGAGAAGTTTTTCTATTTACATCCAAAAAGCCCTTTGTTCCAAGAGGAGCAGAGGTGGGGAAGCAAGACCCATCTCCTTAAAAACCCCCAGCCTCAACCGGACTGTGCGTTCAGCCCTCTGCCTCTCTGCTGAGTGACCCGCCTGGTCTGGCCAGGTGTAATCTCTGCACTCAACCATGTAACCTCGCTCACCCCTCCTCCCCCCAGTCTCTCAGGCTCTGTCTGGAGAGATACCCATCCATCCTTACGGATGTCCCCTCCCTAAAAACCTTGCTATTTTACCTCCCAGTAAAAAAAAAAAAAAAATGATTTCCTTAGAAGGGATAAAATACACAAAAACATAATAGTCTCTTAAGGCTACTTCAAGTCTATTTTTGCAAAGCTAAGAATGCTTAGAGCATGTGAAAATTTTATTTTTAAGCTGCACTCATTACACATCAATCACTGCTCCAGCTACTTTTTTGCTTTCACATGCTTTTATTTAACCAATTTTTTATATTTATATAAGGTGAACAAATTTCATGTCCTCACACTTTACCCACAAGATCTGTGCAATTCTAATCAGTTGTCCGATGTCCAAAAACCAGCTCAGCTCCTAGATGACAGCACTAGAAATTCTTCTTGCCCTTTCCATTGGTCACTAACTTTTCCTCATTTTTTCACTGCAATGTTTTTTTTTTTCTGTCTATAGGATTTTTTTTTTTATTTGCATAGGGGATAGTTTTCCCTCATGAAAATTACAGAAATGGGTAAATGTTGTAGATGTCTTTTATCCTAGATGAGTATAGATCCAAAGGGAAGCAGCACACACACTTTTTTAGACTTTCTCTTCTCCAGATTGAAGAGCATTTTGAGTTGCAGTAAGAAACAAGCAACAAATGACCTGAAACACTAAGTGCTGGTTGGCCATAGAAATGGTAAGACTGGTGGTAACTCTTCCTTTCTTTTCTTGCCATTATGTCAGAATCCAAGTCAATTTTATTCAAACAGATCTTAACCTTAGAAATATAGTTGCCATGTTAGTTGAAATGGTCTGGTCCCTAAAAGCCTGCCATTTATCACCTAAGGAATGTTAGATTTACAGTAAGATCAGCTCTTAAAGTATGAAAGATGTACGGTATCGATTGTGGTGGGAACAGCAAAAAGTCTGCATTTTAAGCAACTTTGCTTGAACATCAGCAGATGCCACTGATGAATTCCAAATAGAAACATGTGAGATTTATCCTCTTCTGTGTGCTTCTCTCAGGCAACATTATCCACTCACTCAGGAGCACTTATGTTCCTGGAATAAGGACAACAAAAAGAAAGAGCTCTTGAAATGCAACAGGGAAGGATATTTCTGCCCAGGGAAAAAGAAGTCCTGTGTTTCATTTATAAGATAGATTCTGAAAGAATTATAATGTCTGCTTTAATATTGTCAGAGAATATTTTGATCCAAAAAAATCTACTTAGATTTAAATAAAACAATTTTCAAAGTAACTCCTGTTATCCAAATATTGATCTTGATGACAACGTTATGCTCTATTTGAAATAACATTTGAAATAATATAGTTTCCCAAGATGAGTATAAAAAGTGTGATACAAATACTGAATTCAGCGATATTTCTAATTCAGTATATCCCAGAACACATATGGCATGAATTTTATTTTCCTTAGCCTAACTAAGCTTAACAAATGCACAATTCTAACAGCCTTGAAACACAAATTCAAAAAAAAAAAATATTCAGAACTCTGAATACTTGGCTAAGGTAATATAATACTCCAAAATTCAACTGCTTTGACACTGTCATCATCGTTACTTAAAAAAGGAGCTATGTGCTAGTTCCCCATGTTCTAGCTGAAACATTGGTTTAAAAACAGAGCTCTAACAATAGTTGTACTGATAATGTTTCACAGAAACAATGACAGGTATTTGCAGAATTTCAAAATTCACATCCTGAAATAAAAAACTAATGCAGAAAAATCTTTGATAATGTATTTTAAAATATTTATTTATTTATTTGGAAGCAGAGTTACAGAGAGAAATAGAGAAACACAAAGAGAGAACTTCTATTTGGTGGTTCACTGCCCACGTGGTCATGAAGGCTGGGGCTGGGCCAGAAGCAAAACAGGTCCTTGACATTCCATCCAGGTTGGCTGCATGGGAGTAGGGGCTCAAGTACTTAGGCCATCTTCTGCTGCTTCCCCAGTCCATTATAGCAGGGAATTTGATTGGAAGTGGACCAGCCACGACTTCAACCGGCACCAATACAGGATGCTGGTGCTGCAGGCGGCAGATTAACCCTCTGCACCACAAAGCTGGTGCTGTAACAATATTTTTGCAAGCAAAAAAAATAAAGAAAGCTAAGAAACACCAGGTAGAATAGTAGTTAAATAAATATCATATGATAGCATATTATGCAGCTATTAAACATGATTTTTCAGAGAGAATGTAATTGTCTCATACAATGTTGATAGAAAATGTGATGAAAAACAACTGTAGAATCATAACTATGATTAGGTTACCTAAAAATTCAATGTCTAGCAGAGGAAGTGGTTAGAAAATAAAATGCAATAGAAACATCTCAAGTGATTATACTGAGTAGTGAAATAATGGATTTTTTTCTGTTCTCTGTTCTGTGCTATTCCTTTTCTTTTGATGTTAATGTACTACTTTATAGATAGAAAAATAAGTTATTAGTTGTCACCTAAAACACATGCAGTCAAAAGAAAATCGTAATATCTGGTAAAACAAAATGAGGTTAATTCAGAGGGTCATACATAATCTGTGATTGTTCCAAAAGCCCAAATAAACATAATCCTGGGGCCAGTGCTGCGGTGCACTAGGTCAATCCTCCGCTGCAGCGCCGGCATCCCATATGGGCGCCAGGTTCTAGTCCCGGTTGCTCCTCTTCCAGTCCAGCTCTCTGCTGTGGACCAGGAGGCCAGTGGAGGATGGTCCAAGTGCTTGGGTGCTGCACCCGCATGAGAGACCAGGAGCAGGCACTTGGCTCTTGGCTTCAGGTTGGCGTAGCTCCGGCCATTGCGGCCATTTGGAGGGTGAACCATCGGATGGAAGACCTTTCTCTCTGTCTCTCTTTCTCACTGTCTATAACTCTACCTGTCAAATAAATAAATAAATAATATTAAAAAACCATAATCCTTCTGAACAGATGATGATGGCATCTGTCAGGAATCTAATGTAAAA